TATACACATTAAAATCTAGGACCTATGTAGAAGACAGAATATACAATATTTGTTTTGCTGAGTCTGGGCTACTTTGGTCAATATAATATCTAGATTCATCCATTTTTTATAGTTTTATAATTTAATTATGGCTGAATAAAATTTCTTTTTGTGTATGTGTCAAATTTTTATTATTTGTTCATTTATTGATGGCATCTAGACTGATTATATCTCATTGCTATTGTGAATAGAAGAGCAATACATATGAATGTGCCAATATCTCTGTGGTAACATGTAGAGTCCTTTGGGTATAGCTCTAGAAGTAGTATAGCTGGATCATAAGGCTGTTCTGTTTTCTCAAAGTTATCCTTTGACAATTTCATACATGTAATCAATAAAATAAGATCTTATCCATCTCCAGTTTCCTTCTTCAGACTCTTCCCAAGATTCTCCCAACATGTTGCCTTCCTAATTTCATGTCATTTTTTTCCTCCCACACCCTCATCAGCATTTGTTGTCATTTGTTTACTTTTTTCTTTTTTAGTCAAATTTTTCTGATTTTTATTTAATATAATTATATGGTATTTAGATCCCCTCCCCTATCTACACCTCCCCTTATTGACCCCCGAACAATTTAATGTACTCATATATATACATATGTGTGTATATGTATATATGCCTATAAAGTCTAATTTGGGTCACAAATGTCCATCAGTGTGAGTCTATCCACTGTAACTACCTCATGTCTATGCTGGCATTTTGTCTGGTTTGAGCTTACATGGGACTTGTGCATGCTGTTATCATTGCTGAGAGTTCATATGTGTAAATGACCAGCTATCCAGAAAACTGTTTCCTGTGGTCATCTACCACCTCTAATTCTTTCAGTCATTTTGCCTCCTTTTGTGCAGTCAATGATCCCTGAGCCTGGTGGGGGAGGGGGCAGAAGTGTGATATAGGAGTCTGATTCAGGGATAAGCACACTGCAGCCTCTTGTTCTCTGTACATTGGCCAGTTGTAGGTTACAGTGTTAATCACCATCTGTTGCATAAGGAAACTTCTCTGGTCAGAGTTGAGAAATGTATTAATCTTTGGGTATAAAAATAAGTCATTAGGAGTCAGTTTAATACAATCTAATATATCTAATAATTAAATTTCACCTAATTTCTAGCTAATAGAAAACTAGTATTAGGCTCTCCCCTATGTCCTATGACCTGGTTAGCCCCATGTGAGCTCCATCCTATGAAATGGACCTTAAATCCAATTAGAGAGTGGTTGGTTACTCCCGTAATATTTGTGCCACTGTTGCACAGGTAGGCATATCTAGCCAGGTCAGTTGTATTTTACAGGATTCACAGGTGAGGTTGATGATTATTTTTTCCTTCAGCAATGTGAACACTAGCCAGTAGAGATGAGTGTTCAATATTGCTCAATATTATATATTGCTCAATATAATAATATCTAGATTCATCCATTTTTATAGTTTTATAATTTAATTATGGCTTGGTTTCTCCTTGTTTGTTCTATAGCTCATGTATATATTGTCTTCAGCAAAAGGATCTACCATACAGTTCTGGTGGGTAACCAAGAGCAGGGGCAATGGCCAGTTTTGTTTGAGGGTCTCTGGGACCCTTGGTCAACAGCTTCTAGAGAGAGCATCCATTTATACCACTGAGTTTTTTTTAAAATTTTTATTAGTCTATGATATCTAAAGGGGCAATATCCCCCTGTTATAAGGTAACTCATTTTGATCTCTTTTTATGATGTATATGTATATACTTTGAAAATCTATAATGGTAGGTTTCCATATGGCTTTTTCAAAGAAAGGCCTTTAGTGTTATTTACTGTTCTCCATACTCCCTCCTCTGCCCTGCCCTGTCATTCCCCACCCCCATTTAATTCTTCCTACTCTGTTATTCCCATTTCCTCCTTCATATCACTGAATTCTACTTCCCCTCCCAGAAACCCTCCCCCACCTACCCATGGCCATTTATTAGTTTCTTGATCTCTCTAGATTTTCAAATGGAAACATGCATATCTAATAATTCAGTGCTAGCATCAAGCTGTGAGACAGAACATGTGACATTTGTCTTTTGGAGTCTAGTTACCTCACTCAGGATGACTATTTCTAATTCTACCCATTTACCTTTGAATTTCATTATTTCAGTTTTAAGAGCTGAATAATATTCCATTGTGTATATGTGCCATACCTTCATTATCCAGTTGACGTATATCTAGGTTGTTTCCAATTTCTGACAATTATGAAAAGAGCATTAATAAGAATGGATGAACAGGTATTTCTGTAGTAGGGTACAGAGTGTTTTGGATATATGCTCAAGAATGGTATGGCTGGGTCATGTGTTAGATCATTTTCAAGCTTTTTTAGAGGTCTCCACACTGCTTTTCCATAGTGGCTGGACCAGTTTGTTCTGCCACCAGCAGTGCATGAGTTCACCTTTCTCTATATCATCTCCAGCATTTCTCATTGCTTGTTTTTGAATCCTAGCCATTCTGAGTAGGGTAAGATGAAATCCCAAAGTAGTTTTAATCTTCATTTTCCTAATAACTAGAGACTTTGGGCATTTTCTTAAGTATTTCTCAGCCATTTGCTTTTTATCTTTAGAGAACTCCCTGTTCTTTGCTCCACATTTTAATTGAGTTATTTGGTGTTTTTGATGTTTACCTTTTTGAGTTCTTTGTTTATTCTAGATTCTAACCCTCTGTCAGAGGTTTAGCTGGTAAAAAATTTTCCCATTCTGTAAGTTGTATCTTCACTAGAATGGCAGTGTCCTTTGATATACAGCTTTTTAGTTTCTGTGGTCCCATTTGTCAATTATTGGACTTAATGACTGTCCTATAGGAATCCTGTTCAGAAAGCCCTTTCCTATGCCTATAAATTCGAATGTATTCCCTGCTTTCTTCTCTATCTGATTTACGGTATCAGGTCTGATGTTGAGGTCCTTGATCCAATTGTACATGGTGAGAGATAGAGATCTAGTTTCATTCTTCTAAGTGGCCTTTTCCAGTTTGACCAGCATAAATAAAATGGAATTTGCAGACATCTACAGAACATTCCACCCAAACACCAAAGAATACACTTTTTTTCTCAGCAGCCCATGGACCACATATTAAGACACAAAGTCTCCACAAATTTATAATAATTGAAATATCATCTTGTAGTCTATCTAATCACAGAGGAATAAAGCTAGATATCAGCAGCAACAATAAAAAATGGGAAAAGTACAGAAACTCATGGAAGCTAAACAACACATTACTGAATCAAGGAGGAAATTAAAAAATTGAAAATGTGAACACAACATACCAAAACCTTTGGGACACAAAGAAGGCAGTCCTAAGAGGAAATTTTATAGTGTTAAGTGCCTACAGCAGTAAGTTAGACAAATCATTAAATGATATACCTGGAAGCCTTGGAAAGTCAAGAACAAACAACACCTAAAAGAATAGATGAGGAAAGATAAATAAAACCAAAGTTGAAATTAATGAAACAGATATGAAAACAATACAAAGAATGAAATGGAAGAGTTGGTCCTTTGAAAAGATTAACAAGGTTGACAAACTTTTAGACAAATTAAAAGAGAGGACCCAAATTAACAAACTCAGAGATGAAAGGGAAGCATTACAAAAGAACCAGAAGAAATTTAGAAAACCACAAGAACATACTTTAAGAATCTATATTTCACTAAACTAGAAAATCTAAAAGAAATAGGTTAATTTCTAAATATGTATGGGCTACCAAAATAAAACCTGAATGATAAATAATTTAAACAGACACATAACAACTAATGATATAAAGTAATTAAAAATCTCCCAACTAAAAAGAGCTCAGGACCAGATTGATACAGCACACAATTCTACCAAACCTTCAAAGAAAAATACCAATACTCCTCAAATTATTCCATAAAATAGAAAAACGAAGGAATGCTCCCAAATTCCTTCTATGAAGTATTACTCTACTACCAAAAACAAAAAAAGACCCAACAAAAAACAAAAAGTATAGACCAATCTCTCTCATGAACACAGATGCAAAAAACTATCAATAAAATACAAACTGAATTCAAGAGTGCATCAAAAAGATTATCCACCATGATCAAGTTGGTTTCATCTCAGAGATGCAGGGATGATTCAACATATGTAAATCAATAAGTATAACCCACCATATAAATAGACTCAAGAACAGAAGCCACATAATCATCTCATTAGCTCCAAAAAGGATCTATGACAAAATTCGGCATCCATTCAGGACAAAAATCTTGAGAACCTAGGCATACAAGGGACATATTTCCACTTAATAAAGCCAATATACTGCAAACCCATAGCCAGTATCATAGTAAATGGAGTAAAACTGAAAGCATTCCCATTAAAATCTGGAACAAGACAAGGATGTCCACTCTCTCCATCCCCGCTCAATCTAGTACTTGAAATCTTAGCTAGAGCAATAAGACAAAGGAGATAAAGGGGACCCTAAAGACTCACCAAAAAACTCCTAGAACAAATAAATGCATTCAGCAATGTAGCAGGATATAAAATCAACACTCCCAAATTAGTAGCCTTACTATACACCAACAACAAACATGCCATGTTTCCAAGAAAGAAATATTGGAAACCAATCCCATTCGTGATATCCTCAAAATATATTTATGATTCTTTTAA